GGTTAGTAATTCGTGTATGATTGTTTTTATCGTATAAAACAATATCAAAAGGTTACAGGGAAAAAAAAAAAAAGTTTAAAGACACATTAAAAATTAAACATGGATATCTGTTTCTCTCTTCATCTCTACACACTATTTTAAAAAAGTTTTTATGTATTTTGTAAGAGGTTTAATTTAAACATATTTCATTGTCATACGAAAGCAGGATTGGGCACAAGTTCGTTGTAAGAAGTGGGGTACAAATATGTTAGGAGCGTCCGATTTGTTTGTTTAAAAAAAAAGAAAATATCACCTCGCTATTCTCGGCAGAACTATTTAATCATTTACAGTGAAATTTGTTTTAATATAACTGTTTTAGTTGGGGATGATGCTGGAAAAAATAAAACCCAGGAAATCCCCGGTAAAGTTCATGCTTTTATATCTGTATTAACTTCTACAGCTTCTAGAGAGCTCCGCCCCGTCCCTGTCCGACATCCGAGCCTCGGCCCTGGACCCTAACATATAGGGGCTGGGGCTATATGCATGCGGCCCTCGCCCTTGGAACAACTATGATTCCGTATTATGCATCGCAACATCTGCTATGATTTTTATGGAATACTCCTTTTGAATAGGATTAAAACAAATGTTTAACATTAGTGACCGTCCTAATATTATCCATTCAAGCATCAATGTTTCGAACTTTGCCGGACCATATAGAAAAAACTCGAAACATCGGAACTTTCACTCACGAATGTTGAACATCGAACATCATTGACATTCTGTACATACATGCTATAGAGACCGATTGGGATTCTTAAATGATGAAATATTGGCTAAGGAATTTTACTTAAAAATCTGTAAATATAAAATTCACAGTAATGAGAACAGCATCATTATTCATACTCCGAAGTATGTGTGGTGATTTTATCAAAATGAATATTGGTTTGTTTACGGATTAAACTTCAAAGTCTGTGTCTGTGATAATGTTGTTTTTTTATTTTACTTATTAATTTATCAGTTGTAATTTTTAATGTTTTCATAAGCAACGGACCATGATTATACGTCGAAAAGCGATAGATTTGACTAATAGTTCTATTCATTAATAAAATGTAAGTAGTGTTATTTCGGAAAAAACGGCCTTCGTCATAGCTTCGACACATCGAGAAATTCGAATATTCAAAGTTCGATTTACGGAAGTTAGCTTGTTGGAACTTGTTATCTTAACAATAAAACCTTACATTTGTATTCGTGCGGAAGACTATTTGCAGTGAAATATGACAATGTTTTATACAGCGAAACCTGTCTTATCTGACCCAGTGGTATACAGTCCTTCATCAAGTCGTATCTGATGGCTGTTTATTCCCATTTTTGTCTCTCCTGTGGCGACGAAAGATGGTAAATTAATTCCTTCTGTAAGGAAATTCCTTATCGGTCACACTCAGAAAACCTATGAAACATGGGAAGATGGATTCTTTGTACAAAAATGTAGCGGAAATGACTAGGGCGATCGCCAGCGTCTGTCTAGCCTTTGGATATCCCTGATTCGAATCCCGGTCTAGCCGTATGGTTTTAACTCTCTTAGCTGTTACATAAATTTTAAACTCGCTTTCGTAAATTTATTCCACATCCTTGAACTTAAAAAATGACTCAAGGTCATTCGTTTCAACAAACTAGATAGCACATCATCTCGGCATGTGACTGGCCGAATTTCATCACTTTTGGACTTTCTGGTATTGAAAAGATGTTGTTGAATGATTTTAACATTTTTACCAATGTGACCTAGAACAAGAGTCAATGTCATTGATTTTAAACAAACTTGGTAGCCCTTCATCCCAGCATTCCACTTGCCAGATATCGTCACCCTGGGTCTTCTGGTTACACATTTGACCTTTGTGACCTTGAGTTAAAGCATACTTTGTAGCACTTTATCCCAATACGCGAACATTTCCACACTCGAAAATTTCTACTTCCACAGTCAAATGATAAATGTGACAGCAAATATGATGCAGAACGTTCAAAGAAGATATACAAAATTACTCCCCGGGTTTAAGACGAGGAGATTTAAGACTATTGGCTACTTACAGGCGCTTGCGCGGAGATATGGGCTATTTGATCCGAATTTGGTGGAGGGATTGTTCGTTCTCGCCGCTCAAGGAAAAGCTCGTGGACACAGTAAAAATACACTCAAACAACACTGTCATTTAAATATTAGAAACATTATTTTAATCAAAGAATGATTGGTATCTGGAATAGTCTCTCACAAGATGATTTTTTCCCCATCTCGTAATGTATTTGACTTTGAGAAAAACTTGGGACGAATTCTAGAAAGATTTCGAGTTCGAGTACCATCACACAGCGTCTTAGGTGTGTAGGCTTATTTTATGTTTACCACGTTGTTATTCAAACTATATTGATGTGGATATAGAGGTAACAATGCCTGCGTCCACTAATATCCTATTAAATCCTATTAATTGGGGTTAAAAATAAAATATGAAAGCGGCAAAAAGCGTATAAACCGATTTACGGGAAATTGAGCCATTTTCATTTTGAAATGTCCTCTTTTTAAAGCTTTAATGAATACTACAGTTTCCTCACAATCAAGATATCATCAATTATTACTCATACATGTATTTTCTGCTTCTGATTTAAATAACTGTTTTATCGAGCTCATGACGTGTAATATGTAAAATAATTTCCAGTATACCTTCCTATGTGCAAATTCACACATCTTTCTAGATGTGGTTTCAACAACTACGTAACACACCGTAGGATATTAAATTGAAGTAGGATCTGCACATGTAGTTAAATTCTATAGTATCTATTTTGAACATTTTGCAACTTCCGAGAACAAATATTGATTATTTATATAAATGAAATACACTGCGAGACCTATGGCAGACCATTGTGAAACTCCCATGTTTTACGTATCCATTTGCAGAAAAACAAGAGGCACAGAGGGCCTGTATCGCTCACCTGGAAATGTTAGCAAAATTGAAGTTGAAATAGAACGATGTTGAATGTTGCTGAAAGTGTACAAGTATTACATGGTTAGTCAGGGATTATATTTATATGCAATTGGACAAAATCCTGTCATACCTACAGGAAAAGGAGGATTTGAAGAATATGCTATGTTTCCTCTATAGGGCCCCTCCCATCTACCCCCAGGAGGGTTAGACCCACCGTTTATACAAAATTAGGCCCCCTTCACCCAAGTATGCTTTAGACAAAATTTGGACATAATCCTGTCATTCCTACAGAAAGAAGGGTTTTAAAGCTAATTCTCAGGGGGTTCAAACCCACCATTTATACAAAATTGATTTCCCTTCCCTATAGGATGCTACTGTCAAATTTGGTCAAAATACCTTAATCCCAACAGAAGAAGGATATTAAAGCTATTCCTCTATATCCCTTATTGGGCCCCACCTCTCTGCCCTAAGGGGTGTCAGACCCACCGTTTATACAAAATTAGTTCCCCTTCACCCAAGGGTGCTGCATCTAAAATTTGGACAAATTCCTGTCATTCCTACAAAAGAAAAAGGATTTTGAAAAATTTGCAATATTTCCCCTATTAGGCCCCACCCCTCTACCCCAAGGGGGGTCAGACCCACCGTTTATAAAAATTTAAGTCCTCTTCCCCAAAGGATGCTTTTAAATGGACAAAATTCTGTCATTCCTACAGAAGAAGAAGAATTTTTTCAAAATTGCTAAATAACCCCTATTGGGCCCCAACCCTCAGGCCCCAGGGGGGGGGTCAGACCCACCATTAATACAAAATTGATTTCCCTTCCAAAAAGGATGCTACTGTTCAAATTTGGTCAAAATACCTTCATCCCAATGGAAGAAAAAGGATATTAAAGCCATTCCTCTATATCCCTTATTGGGTCCCGCCCCTCTGCCCCCCACCCATTCAGTCCCATTGGCCCAAGGATGCTCCAGACTAAATTAGGATAAAATCCCTTAATCGCTATGGTAGAAGGATTTTAAAGGCTTTACCTCTATTTCCCCTATAGGGCCCTACCCCTATACCCCCAGGGGTCCACACCCACCAGTTATACAAAATTGAGTACCCTGACCAAATTTAGTCAAAATCTACTTAGCTGTTCAGGACTAGTAGCGGTTTAAAGGAAAAGTTGACAGTTAGACACACGACGGACGCTGTGCCATGGCATAAGCTCACTTGCCCTTCGGGCAGGTGAGCTAAAAATTTGGATTACTTCCAAAAGACTCAGATATGACACAGGACGTTTTGTCTAACTAAAACATGAGATCCCCGGGGGATCTTGGGCCCACCATCTTCCTTAGTTCTGTCAGTTATTTTCTTTTATCTGTTTGATCGAGTCATTTATACAGTAAATGAACCTTTAGGTAATTTTGATCTAAACTTCATGCTGCTGTGTATAAAAGCCAACCTTCAAAGTGAGTTTGTCATTTCACATATTTACTAGTACAGTACCTAATGTGAAAGAAATAGAACCAATCATTGCAATAAGAGAAAGATCGGTTAAGTACTTCCTGCGGCCTTCTTGTTTTTATTATCGCTCTCAAAATAAAACATTCACAACTAAGGACCAAGGAGAATCTACATATGAAATTTAAGAAAGATTACTGCAGTACTTCCCGAGAAATAGTGATAACAAACCTTCACTGTCAAAATTAATGATGGCCACCTATTGGCCATTTTGTTGCACAACTACAGACCACAGGTAACCTACCTATGACCTTTGAGAAAGACAGACCACAGGACAAAAGGACATTTGAATAAACCACAATCAGATGATGGTGGGCTAAAAAATATGCATTACTTAAGTTTACCGTACTTTTTATTTTGACCATAAAATTCCACCAATTTATTTTTTTCTTTTTTTCTTCTTCTTTTTGCCCAAACCATTGACACAGTATTCCAAGTAAGCAGAAATGTATGCCTTCAAATTCATTTTTATAAATTTCATTTAATCTGAACACTCTTTGGATGAATTTACAGAAATAAATGTTCAGCAATACAAAAATAACCAAAACAATGAAAGAGTGTGTATTTGATTTAATGGCATTCAAATATAAAGATAAATTATTTAAATATTTTCATCATCTCTTTACTTCACCAATGTCATCTATACCATCTTCATCAATCTGAAAGAAAGAAAAGTTTGATATAAGATTTAATCGTTATAATTGTTTTAAACAGTTGTTTTCTATCAAAGATCAATACTTCAGTTTCTCCTCAAGTTGGACACTATGAAACCAACAAGTGTTGTCCGTTTCATTTGCCTGTGAAATCGACCAGATTAACTCATTCACTCCTGAAGACACATTTGAACTCTTCCAATTCAAAGGTTGGTATAGTTCATTATGAAATTTCAGAGGTGAATGAGTTAACATTGCCTGTACGCACATGAATAGGTGTATCATTTCACACCACTTAGCAAGTATAAATCTGTAGCTTAAGTTAAGTTTGGTTTAATTTCTTTAATGTTATATTAACAGCTATACGGTCATATAAAGACTGCCCTCAACGTGTGTTTTCGTATGCGTACATGTAGGTATGTGTACTGAGGTGGTATGTTGGTGTATTTGACTCCTTGGGATAGCATGGCTCTGATGGTGACTTTAGAGTGCAACCCCATTGAAATGCTGCACCAATTCTTTCCAGTGCGTTAATTGAAATAAGCAAAATTGATGAATTATAGTACATACCATGATTTTGTGCAATAGAAAAGCTGTATTCTGGCGATTTATTTCTGACATGGCACATGACAGTGGACATTCAAAGAGGGACCACATTTTAACATCAAGATTAGTTTCAGACCTGTACAAATTTGAGTTTATCTTTTGCCCAACGGTAGACTTACTCAAGTTCCAGGAATTTATCATATTATAATTGATATATCGAAATTGAATATAGCTTTGCTTTGTCGCCTTGGGTGATTAATTGGGTTTGTCTTCTATTTCTACATGAAATGCCTGAAAGTTTATTTATTTGTGCTGGAATTTAAACAGTTTGACAATAATATTGCTGACATAATTCATGAGTTCACGTACCTGAGGCCACTTTTCACAGAGAATATCAAACAGATCGTCCCGTTTATCTCCTTGGACAGATATTTCATCTTCAGCAACCACGGATGAGCCGCACGAAAACTTCTTGGAGAAGAATTGACTGGCTTCCTTCAGATCAATTTCTGCAACAGATGTGAAAAGTTTGGTTTACAGTAAAATAAATCATCTTATGTACTTTGACAAAAAAAACAATTTTACTACTTTTGAAGCTGTTTTGAAACCCATCACAGCACTAAAATTCAGATATATGTTACTTTTCATAAGATTTTCTTAAAGTTAGTTTTAATAAATTTTGTTATACAGAGAAACCCACTTACTGGTATGACGATATCAGATATCATGATAACCCGATGACTATTATAGTTTTTCCACGTACCAATTTTTTCTCTTTAACAAAATATGTTTATTATGATATGGTCACACGTGTAGCCCCAATCATTATAAAAAAAATCTTAGTTTGCTTTAATCAATTATTTTTTTATATTAAATTTTAATTGTATGTTGTTGTTTTTTCTTTATAAATTTTTCTTCTCTCTTTTTCCTTTCAAAATTACACCCCCTTTTTTCAATAAAATTCTTTTCATCGTAACCTTTTTTTAAATGTAATTTTCATGTCATTATCAAGATTTCCTTTTGATTGTCTATCTAAAATAAGACAATTTACCATAGGTTGAGAGGCCAGTAATAATTGTGCTCTTCTTCTTTCCACGTTTAATGTATCCCAGGTTGACTCCTTGAGGTTCGGCCTTCTTCTTGGCTTTTACCTGTCCCTTCCCTCCTCTCTTCTGTCTTTTCTTCTCTGCATCTCCAGTCTCTCCATCCTCACCATCTAAACAGAGAACACTATTTTTATCTCTCCATCCTCACTATCTCAAAAAATGATTGTTATAAAGCTATATTTGTCAAAGAGTATATGAGAGAGCGTTTTTGAGATAAATTTTCTGCAACAGAATTGACACTAAGATAGGGATTCTGAAATGAACTCTGGAATAAAACACAGGCGTAAGCACAAAGTGGCGATACATTTATGTCTATGCACAAAGTATTTTGTTCAAATATCTTTAGAAGTCCCAAATTTAAGCATCCCTGTGCCACGACTACCAAAAACTGTAGCTTTAAATTGTGAACTTTTTTAGCCCTCTAAATCTACCACCCATGACTGAATTTTTGGTATAATTTTTTAGTATGTACATTAAATTGTGATGCAGAACATATGGTGCATGTTATGAAAGTAGTATACTTCCTCAAACTTAGAGGAGAACATGTGCCTTCAACAAGCCCACAAACTTTAATAATGTCTTTAGGATAAGTGCTATGAAGCTGATCATATTTGCATATCATAAACCTTATTTAGTCCCTATAGTCACATTTGAACCTTACCATATCAAAGACTGGGCAAGTCCAATTAAAAAATGTACGGGTGAAGGAGTTCATGATGATTTTCCTGTCCCAAGTGTTAAACAGACATTTCTTAACTTTAGAAATAAATTTCTTAGCATAAAATGTTCCTTAAGAAAGCCTACAGAGGTTAAGGAACATCTCAAGTCAGTAAAATGTTCCTGTAGAAAATTCTAACTTTGGGAATTTCTTTCAAAGAACATTGTGAAACTGATGCCAGAAATATACAATAGCTATATCAAACCCTGTTATACAGATTTGATGAGTTAAACTAAAAGATAAGTAGTGGGTACAAAATATTGGACAGAAATAAATGAACATACCAGCCTTTAGCTTTTCAAACTGATCGGGCAAGTTTGTCTCCAGCCACTTCTTACACTTCTCATAGTTTGGGTAATACTCGCAGAACTGAAAACAGAAAAATAATGCTCCTACCATACACAAGATTCAGGTTCAAAGGGAAACAACTCTTACAAGTCTTGTTACCAAGACAGACATAGTGAAGAATCTGATCAGATAAATAAAGACAAAATATATTATGTACATTCGTTTTTTAATATAAAATTATTAGGCTGAGCAAGTATCTGTATTATTTTTTCTTCAAAATCTGGTTACAGCCTAGTATATTAAAACGAAATTGTTTACCCCTAAAACCTCTAACAGCATACAATGTTGGTAAATTGTTAATTAACAGGTGTGACTCTATATGTTATAACTCATTAGTACTGTAATACTTTGTGACTAAATATGTTGACCCATGATAACTCAGTAATTAAATTGTTGTCGTAACAGAATGTGTACTTTTTTGCATAGAAATATTCCTTAAAAACTCACCTCAAGTGGCATGGAACATTCTGAAACAAAAAGTGTTTTTTTTTTTAAACTTTTACAAATATATATTTAAACACATGTATAGTAAAGATTAAAAAAAATGGTGAGCGTTGTTAATACCTGCTAATTAACTTAAAGCTTCTGCATCTCGGTAAATTTTCACTGCAGTTTAACTTCCACCTTTTTCGTCCTCCTCAATGAGGGGGAATTTATCATGACATCAAATATTAATATATACAACATACAATTTATCGTAATCTAATTACTTGAGAAGGAAGAAATAAACACTACGTGAACAAGGTTTTTATCGATGAAGGACGAATATTTGACTGGGAGAAAGTTTCCCAGTAAAGGCACCCTACAGGCTAGACAGACTAAAGATCCTTAATTTTTATGAATATTTACTGACACTACTGATTCACATTTTGATATTTCAAACATAAAACAAAATTGTTTTTAGGAATCATTACTAATTCACATTTTGATATTTCAAACAACATATATGTACTGATTCACATTTTGATATTTCAAACATACAACGTAATTGTTTTTAGGAATCATAACAAATTCACATTTTGATATTTCAAACAACATATATGTACTGATTCACATTTTGATATTTCAAACAACAAATATGTACGGATTCACATTTTGTTTCTCAAACATAATATATAATAATTTTTGTGAATATTTACTATTTATTGATTCACATTTTGATATCCATTATTTTTACCGTCATGATTTATTATACCGACCTCCACAGTACAAAACCTTCATGGGGTAAGTGATATCAGATCTCGGCCCTTCATACACCAGGTACTGACGCCCCTCAGCGGCTGGGGCAGGTATAACTACCGGTTCGTCTGGTACAGCTGTAGCCATGTTTTACTGAAATTATATCGGAATGTTTATATTTAATTGTTCAGTGTGACAGTCATCTAGCTAGCTGGCATTGTTTTTCCCATTTCTGACTTGCCAGCAATTATATCATTACATACCTGCAAACTCTCCCTATTTAGGAGGGAGACTCATGATTTAGGTCCCTAAAACAAGCATTTTCAAACCAGTGAATTTGCTAAACTATTCCTATTATTTAAGATATGAGGATTTCATCTAAAAGAACAACTCAAAAGATGCCATTTAAAAGTGTTATTATTGGCCTAGGGGTATATACACACATGCTATTTATGCTTTTAATTCTGAACACTGGCAATTTCCCTCATCACAATTTCAAAAAGTTGGCAAGTATATATGCAATTAACATGTATGTTATGTTATAATAAGGTAAACAAAATATGTATGTTTCTGGTGACATGACTGACGAAAATAAGGAGCCAGGATTTAGTTTTATTATATTTCTGGGAGGGGGGCTTATTTAAGAAATGAAAAAAAATCACAAAAACTATTAATATGTCTTTTAAAATGATATGGGATTTGAATTCAGTTTCGATACCTGCCTTTGTAGATATAGTAGAGCTACAGCCTTATTTGTTTGCCCATCAATTTTTTGCAACCTAGTTATCCGATTGAGATAAAATTGCTAGGGTGTTAGGGTTGGAGGTAAGTAGATAGTAGGTTGATTGGGTACCTGAAACATACATACATGAACATACTTTTTTTGGCCTTATGTTGATAATAAAAATCTTTTGGCAATATTGAATTTGATGTAGACAGTAGTGACAGCCTAATTCATTAGTGCACAATCATAGTTGTCTGCACCAGACCAATGTACATATGACATTATATATACATGTACACTGAGAACTAGCTGTTCATGGGTTACCTTTACAAATTAGCTATTCAACTGATACCTGTGTCCAGTACTTTTTGAAGTGGCTTCTATATAACTACTAAATGTAAATTAAACTTTTGTGACTGTATATGTTGGCAAACTAGGCGGATTGTTGAAATAAGGACTTACTGAAATCACTAAGGGTAGCCTATGGATCTTGAATCACAAAGTAAAGACAACTGCTTCTGTTGCTAAATGACAGGAAATTTTAGTGTTTAGAAATTAAAGTGGGAATAAGGACTTACTGAAATCACTAAGGGTAGCCTATGGATCTTGAATCACAAAGTAAAGACAACTGCATCTGTTGCTAAATGACAGGAAATTTTAGTGTTTAGAAATTAAAGTGGGACTATATATATTTATAGTAAATAAGATGCTTAAGGTGAGTGCTGTAATCCTATAAGAAGTACAAACTAAAGCTAATGTGTCGTTATAATTATTAATATTAGTTGAACAATTAGATCCTTGTCCCACTGCACCGTAGTTTTTCCTATTTACAGTTACCTCCCTTTAAGTTTGGATAGCTCAGTTGGGCTAGGACACTTTTGTTGACCAGGTACAATGTAGTTCAATTGGTTAGACAGAAAGTTAAACAATCTGAAGTCCAGGGTTCGAATCCTGGTCTAGACGTGCTGACCTTTTTTTTCCACTCAGAAAACTGTCGTTTATAATTATATTTTGTTTATTTCTTTTCCATTTTTTCTCATAAAAGTCCCGCAAGGTATATTATATTTTTTCTTTACAGGAAATGATTTATCAATATCAAAGCTGTTTCAGGTAGCTAGAATAACCATCATCAGAACCGTAAAGTGTAATGGGAAATTCCTTCTCGATCCTAGTGCAAAAGTCATTAATATTTAAACATTTAAGCAAAATTTAATGCAAAATATTAAAGAACAATGACAATCTTTGTACAAGACTTATTTTTAAAATGGCCGTCTTACTAATGGTAATTGAAATCTGTTTCTGCTATGTCCGTGAGAAAGGGAAGAGTTGATTCTCCCTGTGAACACTGAACAAGGGACGCATATTGTAATGAGTGCGATAATTTTTGCTGTATAACGTTGACCTGTATATTTATTAAGTGTGTATCTTATCTGTAATGATACCTGTATAGGATTACGACATATATCGCTGACAGAAGCCCTAAGGGCTCCCCCTGGGCAACGGACCTGGTACTGTGGATTAAGTAGTCAACATGCAGGTGAGAGCAAGCATGGAACAATATATTGTACGATACACTTGATGGAGTGAGGATAACTATCGGACTGTGATGGTGGAGGTTGTGGCGAGGGTGACGTGCATGGGGTTGACGTTAGGGATGCCAGAGTGCACCGGGGAGTGACTGCACCCAAGTCGAATGCAGCGCAGATACCAGAGAACGCCAGAACCTAGTGTGATGAATGTACATATCGTAATCCTACCTTCGTTGATTTAGCATATTGTTCAGGTTAGATACATTGATCTCTTGGCGTTAATCATTTGTGTTATGTTCTGTAATTTGAACGCTTAGAAGACGGATAGTTTTCGAGGTACAATTAAAACGTACCAGTGATTATACCTCACTCACCGCTAGGTGTCGCTACGATAGCAAGAGAGTATAAATAGTCAGAATCCAGCGGCAATCGGCCCAGTTCTGTTCTGATCTCGGCGTGTGTACAGCAGTGACGGTTCGCAAGTACCTAATATATGCGAGACTGGCTTTGTGTTGGAAAGATAGAAGTGACTGAATAAGTCTTGCCTTGATCCACACACTGCCTGGATTATATATTAAATAAACGATTGAGTGCTGTAGCGAGATACCGTTAGACAGAAGGTGTCACGGACATAGGCTGTGCAGTGCTAGTCGTGACTAGGTATAGTCGTTATTGCTAGTCGTGACTAGGGGGTAGTCGTGACCAGGCTACTCGTGACTAGGGTAGTCGTGACTAGGTATAGTCGTTATTACTAGTCGTGACTAGGGGTAGTCATGACCTGGCTACTCGTGACTAGGGGTAGTCGTGACCAGGCTAGTCGTGACTCGGGGAGTCGTGACCAGGCTAGTCGTGACTCGGGGAGTCGTGACCAGGCTAGTCGTGACCAGGCTAGTCGGGACTAGGGGTAGTCATGACCAGGCTAGTCGTGACCAGGCTAGGCGTGACTAGGGGTAGTCGTGACCAGGGTACTCGTGACCAGGCTACTCGTGACTAGGGGTAGTCGTGACCAGGCTACTCGTGACCAGGCTACTCGTGACTAGGGGTAGTCGTGACCAGGCTACTTGTGACTAGGGGTAGTCGTGACCAGGCTACTCGTGACTAGGGTAGTCGTGACTAGGTATAGTCGTTATAGCTAGTCGTGACTAGGGGTAGTCGTGACCAGGCTAGTCGTGACTAGGGGTAGTCGTGACCAGGCTACTCGTGACTAGGGTAGTCGTGACTAGGTATAGTCGTTAGAGCTACTCGTGACTAGGGGTAGTCGTGACCAGGCTACTCGTAACTAGGGGTAGTCGTGACCAGGCTACTCGTGACTAGGGTAGTCGTGACTAGGGGTAGTCGTGACCAGGCTACTCGTGACTAGGGTAGTCGTGACTAGGGGTAGTCGTGACCAGGCTACTCGTGACTAGGGTAGTCGTGACTAGGGGTAGTCGTGACCAGGCTACTCGTGACTAGGGTAGTCGTGACTAGGGGTAGTCGTGACCAGGCTACTCGTGACTAGGGTAGTCGTGACTAGGGGTAGTCGTGACCAGGCTACTCGTGACTAGGGGTAGTCGTGACCAGGCTAGTCGTGACTAGGGGTAGTCGTGACCAGGCTAGTCGTGACTAGGGATAGTCGTTGTCATTAGACAGTGCCGTAGCTGTATACTAGTATAAGGCTGTCGTGATCTGCGCGACTAGGTCATATAGCTAGGTAGTTGACTATAGGGCAACTATAGTGACTAGGGCTAGCCAGGACTAGGTAGTCGAGTTGTGTACTGCCTGGATTGTACGGTAGTGTGTTATATTGATACAGAGCAGATAGCTTTGGTAACAGTTCTATAGTCGTGCAGTAATTATTCTGTTCATATCATGTATTAAGCATTAGGTAATAGGTATGCTGGTTACAAGGTAGTAACACATATTTGTATATATTTGCAACTGTAGTAAAGTTATAACTAAGCCTACAGCACATGGATCCTTAGAAGTGACTAGGGTACGGACCCCGGAACGTTACACTTTAAGTTGGTCATCCTCAGAGCACCCAGTGTCAGCCGTTTTATATATGTAAACTGACTGCATAAGGCTTTACGTCGGCGCGAGTTATCAGCGAGTGCCCACATAACAAGTCGCATTCCACTCATATATCAACATGTAATAATATAAGCAAATACCACAGGGGCCTGAGATACATGTACATCATGTATAGTTGGCCTTCTTCCGATGTGAAGGGAGTATTTTGACGTTCTAGACTTAGTGTGGGTGTTAAATCAACACTCCTTAAATGTCTTTTAACATTCCCATCGGACCATTCGGTTAAGGTCCAAACAAATATGGAAGCTTATTCTCATTTCTGATCTCAGACCCCTGTGTTCAGCGCAGCTGTGAAATATTTTTGGACATTTGCCACTGCTACGTACGAAATCTGTTAAATCATACATGGATGTCTCCCATGATTAGCAGTCGTTCTACGGTTGTACAGATTAAACATACACATTACTGAAATCAATAGCAGTAATCTACAACAAAACAGTTCTACTCAGTACTTAACAGAATATACTCACATGGATTTCCCGGAAATGGTGTAGTAGCCGGCTGACAGACGCATGCGCATTGAAACAGGAACCGGATAAGGGAAATTTTGTAAACAATTCAAAAACGGCTAAACTTGTCCTTCCTGCAGCTTATTTGAATTTACAGTGTTTTGGTTCTTTTGCATGACGATATTTGGTAGGTTGGTCTAATAATCAATAATTTATAATTGTTCTTATCTGTATTTTCTATGTGTGCGAGGATCACATTTAAACAAACCCTACCGGCTTACCCACAGACCCATGCTGATGGGTCTGTGCATGTTTTGTTTATTATGTTTTTTTAAATGTTACCAACCCTTTAAATATATATGAAAGGTTCTCAATACACTTAACACTTTATTAAACAAAATGTTTAAACATGCGATTCTTAAATGACATAGACAGGAGCATTATGCTTGATTTTGAGTGAAGCACATCGCAGAGCTTATTACTCCAACATTGTCCGGCCCCATCACCCCCTCTGTTACTCCAATAATGTTAGAGGTTTTACGCGGCGAAAAACTTTTGACAGGCGCCGTCGCAGTCGGCAAAATCATATCCGATAGAAAAAAGGCCGACCAGCGGCCTCTCATGTTATGGGAGTACCCTCTGTATGATTATAATTATCAAATTCTCATCTTTTAAAAAAAAATCTATTGCATATATCTGTGCTTGATTTTATATTTATAACAGTAACTTCCGAAATGATGGTTCACAGTTTTATATGAGTTTCTTCCTAAAAAAATGACAAACGTATATTTATAATTAAAAGTTAAAGTAATTTGCTCTGAGACTGGCTTTGAACTAGCCCAGGTTTCCTCTGGCCCTGACAACAGACTTTTTAGACCTTTTGACAGTACAGATTGATGTCTGGTGTAGACATTGATCTGTCAAAATGTCTGAAGTCTGGTGTCATGGCGGGAGGAAACTCCGACTAGCTTTGAGCATCAATGGTAACCAGGTAGTGAATGAGCCCCGTTGATTTATGTATAAGGTGGCAGGACCCACATCGGATCACATACTTCATGCAAAAATAATTTTAAATCCATAAATATGTCAACAGATCAGTTATAATAATGATGTAGCATTATAGATTAGAATAGATAGCCATGTACCATTTTAAGTCTACAGATGATTAGTTTTTAAGTTCAAATAGCACCAGAAAAAGGAATTCAAACTCAAATGTCAGTGTTTTGTTTACATGTTACGATTTGGGTCCTGACATTCGCAAAAACCGGAACCCCTGATAGGTGACTTCAGAGCGTTCTAAAAATATTTCATGTGAGTCCCGGGTGCTAATTCTTTTTGTAAGAACATCCATCAATATTCTTCCTTTGATACAACCATAAATGAATATAATTCATCCTCAGAATTTTCAATGAATGAATAAAATGATGGTTTGGTGATCCAATTTGGGTACTGTCACCTTATCTGACGGGTCCGTCGATTTACACAATACAACCCAAAACAAACAGCAATATACCCAATACAAGCGCCGATTTACCCAATACAAACATTGATTTACCCAATACAACCCAATACTACCCAATACAGCAAGTGAACACCCAATAAAACTGATATACCAAATAAGTCTCCATAGGAAAAGACTTACATGTATAAAGAATAAGCCTGTTGTCTGGTCCCTTTGTTAATATTGTATATGTATTATTATATTTCTTCTATAATAAGTGTATTTATCTTTGTATTAACAATGAAATATTTTGAAATGGAATAGATTGAATTAAGTAGTTCCAAATAACGACTATCTTGCCAAAAATACCCGGGTCCGCACAACATTGTTACTTATATTGGGTATTTTTAACTTTATATAAATATATATACTTAAATAGTATTGGGTAAATCGATACTTGTATTGGTTTTTATTGGGTAAATCGATACTTGTATTGGGTTTTATTGGGTAAATCGACACTTGTGTTGGGTTTATTGGGTAAATTTACGTGCCATATCTGACTCCAGCTGAAATAAATGTAACTACGAAACCATGAAAAATATAACCAAACTTCAGAATATACAGTTTGTTCACAAAAGAACAAAAATAAAGTACCATGAACAAGCATGTTATGTTGTCACACCTAGTACAGTATCATATTATTGTATTATTTCCCTTTAATTTTCAGCCACTGGTTGGAACCTAGAAATCTTCCATTCTAACTGAACAAACATTGACAAGACTAGCTCTATGCCAACCTGCAGTACAGTTTGATTTATGAATTGTATTCATGTTGGACTTCTTGAATGGATTTTCAACCAGGGACATTTTTAGATGATTCAGGTATGTATGATGTTGGTACATGTGTATTATTTCAGGCATATATAGGTATGCGATAGGGGAGCTATTTAAATAGTTTATTGATAAAACATTAGAATTACAAGAATATAGATGAATAGGGAATAAGAAAAATAAAACTGTAGCGGAACTGGACTGGATTGATTGCCAACGACAAGGTACATTTTGCTCAATTGATAGAGCGGGTCTAGAATTTGGAGGGTCCCAGATTCAAACCCCGGTCTGGCTTAAGGCTAAGCCAATATCAGTCTTTTTCTTAAATTACCAGTTGTATATATGGATCATCAACTTATTATATCATTATTAGGTATAAATAATAGACAGCAGCAAAATAAAGGGAAATAATGATCCATTAATTAACATAAAAGAACAGATCACTCACTGATCAGTAGGGAGCTATTCTAGTGGTAGAGTTTATTGTAATGTAAATATATATACAAGTCAGTGGTTTTTGAGACACGCTAATTATATAATTATTTGATTCCTGTTTAATTCATGATCACCTTGACCTTCTATATCTCTTCTTATGTGAAATTTTCAAAACTTACACAAAAGAGATTATTACAATTATGTCATTTTAGTTATGCCATTCACTTTTTACAAGTGAAAAACTTTTAGGCCAAACAATAAATAACTGTGTCCTGTAACCAGGCTTGATAAAAATAGGGTAGTTAGCTATTCCGTCTTTGCGTATTGCAGAGTTATCTTCTCTTGGGGGCAGGTATTGATTGTTACGTCACTTGTTTGAGAGGGTAACATCATCAATTTTTGAGAAAACGACGTAATTTTATCGCACAAACCAATGACGTAACAATCAATACCTGCTCCCAAGAGAAGATAACTCTGCAATACGCAAAGACGAAATAGGTACAGGTAACACACTTTTTTAGGTCACCTGAGCTTTAGCTCAAGTGACCTATTGCTNTTACTTTATGTGGTTTAAAAAGGAGAGTGATCTTGACTTTAACAGTGCTTTTTTGTGTAGGCAGAAACAAATTCTGGATAGGAAGTTAAGGGTTACCACTACATGTACCAGAAACATAAACAATTTTTAGCTTGGCCTTTAATATCTCTTCTTATAAGGATAATAGTTCACTATTTTTTTCTCACAGGTATATTGCCAGTATCCAATGCAGAAGACATTATCCACAGCACACCTGTCAAGGTAAGAATTGAGTATATACATGTACATTTGTACATTCATCAATGTCACATGATGGGATTTAGCTGGTAGTGATGGAGATGATAACACTAGGCCATACCTTGAAAATTGTTTGTGTGCAGTTTCCCGACTGACTTTCACTAAAAATGGCACCTACACAATTTTTGTTTTTTGATTGGCAAACATTTTCTATCTGGCTGAAAAATCACTGAAACTTAGACTTTTTGTATGAAGACATGATATTTTTGAAAATGTAAAAAAAGAATCCCTTGCTACCTAGAGCTATCTATTGAAAAAAATCTGAGTAGGGAAACTAATATGAAACTACTTTTTAAGGATGACCCCAGCTTAAGGCTATCAGACTTTAAATATGCTACATACATGTATTGTATTTGATACTACATTGTTTTCTATTTCTTTTTTCTCTTGAATTTTTCATCAACTAATCATGTGTAGCTATTTTGACTTACTTATATGTCGTCATATAAGATGAATAAGATGCAAATTATAAGAAAACATTGAAAAGTCCTTACGCTTAAACAAGATGGTTTTTTTTACAGTCGTCCATTCCTCCATTTTCCACCAAAAAGAAAGCTCACGTTAAGAAAACTGTCAGCGTACCACCACATACTGGCGGATTTAGGTCACCACCTCCTCCACAGAGACACGCCAACCATTCAAAGACCCGCCCACATGACCGAAGCCATGTTACCGGACGAGTGGCACCCTTAGCTCACACTCCGCCTCCAAGTGAGATGCCTCAACAACAGTACCCTCCCTTTGATGGAAGCGTCTCAAAAAACCCTCCTGCTGACAGCATCTACAGTCATTTATTTGAAAATCGTCGGAACAATGAAGAAGGAAGTTCTCCAGTTGGACAGAGAACTAGGTTTGTCCAGCCATCCAGTCCTGGTCAGTCTGGAGGTGGACATTACCCTAGCGGTCATGCAAGTATGATGAAGACAGTATCTGTAGCGATGACCAGTCCGTCTACAGCCCATGAAAAATACTCCCTAAGGTCACAGGTAAGTTTAAAAATTATATTAATAGTTTTAATTTACAATATGTATGTAAAGTGAACAATTATTTTTTTTATTTTGACTACAAGATATTTCTACTGAATTAAGGGGTGTACATTTTCAATTTTAGAATACTAGCCTCTGAGTTGATTTTGGAATGTTCTGGTGTCCTGACCTATATTTTCATAGTAAATATTGAAAATGTTTGCCTCCGTCTCGATCGCCGAGCATTCCTATAAAGACAATTGCAATGTTAAGTTCACCCTCTCAAATGGTACCTGCACTAACTTGTGCTGTGTGTGCAGGGCTAGAAATTAATTTTGAATACCACTAGTCAATTGGGGTAATAGTTTCTAATATTTACTAGTCCACAGGAAATTCCACTTACCCAATATCATATCATTTAACAAGATAAGTAATATCTAATTTGGTCTAGTCTATTGTGCTCGTGGTTTTTAGAACCACTAGTCCAGCTGGAAATTTCACCTGTCTAACACTATTGGGCTATATCCTTATTGTCTAGCTCAGGGCCGTATTCATGAAACCGTTCTCATGCTCAAGCACAGATTCTGTATTCAAGCCCAATTTCTTCTTCCAGTGATGAATAAAAAATACGTAAATAAAATATCACATTTTGTCCAAGGTTTGAGCACAAAATCCATGCTTGAGCATTAGAATGGTTTCATGAATACAGGCTCTGGTTTGATGTAAGATTAAGATATATGTGGTATTGGTAATTTATATTTGTGTATTGTGTGTTTTGGATTTTTTTTTTAGAAAATATTGATTTTTTTCTTCTGTATAATGTTTAAGATTCTTTACTTATTCTCCTGACGATATGTCATGTTGTATTTTATCTTCATCAGAATGGCTCGGAACAAGAGAACTTGACTATTAAGAAGCAAAGGCAGGAAATTCAGTTGTTGGTCGCCGAGCTCCGAGATCGAGACAGAGAACTTAATGATATGATGGCGGCCCACCAACATCAGCTGTTGTCATGGGAACAAGACAGACAGCGAATCCTGTTGTTGGAACAGAAATGTGCTAGATATGACGGTTTGTACTTTTGAAAATAAATCATGGTTATAGGGAAATTTGTATACACATATTTAAACATACCAACATGGAAACGATGCTGTCTAATTCAGGGTTTGGTTTTCTGAGTGAGGAATTTAACAGATTCTGTACAGTGGAATTTTTTCAATGAAATTTTCTCTTGAAAAATCTAGAGCTTTTGATAAATGATCTTTGCCGAGCTGTCAATATTGTAATTTTTGTTGGTTCACATCATGCATTTTCACCTTCACAAAAATCCATAAATGTATATTTTTAGTTGATTGATAAATACACTAATGTATTAGATGACACAAGTTCTTACCACATCCTCATTGGTTAGGTTATGATCATGTGCAGGTTGATATTTTATGGTATTGACTCTAGCTCTTGAGTCACTATTTTTAGAAACAGCAGGTCTATACGTGTATTCTCTATATGACATCACTCTCAAATGTAACAACACAGTGCTCTCTGCCAAATGAAAGCCTTTTCTTTTTGATGGTTTTTATTACATTCCATCTTGTTTTAAAATAAAAACAGCATAATTTCATATCTTATGTAATAAGTAAAGTATTTCTTTGAGGTGAATATGTGGTTATATAGACCTGAAAAGTTACGTTAACCTTGCCTTTGTCTCCATTAATGTATTCTTTTCAGGTCCATATAACCACATATTGACCTCAACAAATGTCATTAATTGATAATTATATATATATAAATATGACATGGGTGTTTTCACTAAATGACACAGTATTATTAAATCATGCGACTGATATATATATGTAACGTAATTAGACCCAATACAATCATTTACTTGTGTTTCCGTTATCATCCTCAGAAAAACTAGGCAATTTTTTTAATTTGGGAAAATATTTTTACCATGCTTACATAGAGCAGGAGTTCTGACTTTAACAGTGCCTATCACTAAATGCCAATAAGGTAAGGTAAGTGGAAACACAACATTTTTTGTATTTGGCTTTACTGTGGTAAACATTAAGAAAAACATGTTCTTCACTTTGACTCTGCTCAAAACATGGCAACAATTCATTTGATAAAAATTGAGTGTTCAATATAATCTTGAACAATAATATATTGATCTAATAATGGCAATTATGTTAATTTTCACCTGAATTTTACACAGGTGAGTTAAATGAGAGAAACAAACAGTTAAAGAATGCTGTATCACGACTCAAATCACTTAAGAACGAGAGCCATAACCACAGCTCCACGCTGGAGTCGACAGTGGAGCAGCTAGCCAAGCTGAGCTCGGAGAACAGCCATCACACGTCTGTCATACATGATCTGGAGGTAAATTAATATATATTAAAAAAAAATAATTCCTGAACTTTTTCAAGATTAATAATGACCTTGTAATTTAAAATCAAAAAGTATGAAAACTATTTCATTAGATAAAGCCATTGTTAATAACAGATCCAGTATTTCAGCCTCATAGCCTTCTTCTTTAAAGGCAAAAATCATTGGTGAATTTAAGTTAAGTTCATCTTGCTTTTTTTGGAAGAGGAGGAAATTCTGTACAAAAATTCTTAGGTCACAATGAATCATTCATTCATTTCAATCTGATTAAAACCAGATCTTTATTTCCACTCCGAAACTCCACGTTCCACTTTGACCGGAACGTAGAGTGTTGGAGTGGAATTAAAGATCTGGTTTTAATCAGATTGGTTTTCATTTTAACTAGCACATTTCATTTCAAAAGCACATGCTAACCTTTAGATAAATCTACTACTGTATATGAGGAAATTTTTGCCCTTCACCCATGAAATCAATGAAATTAATTTCGCCCTTAACATCTTATTACTGTGTATATTGTGTTGTTTATATGTATTCGCCGTAATAAATTCATCTTCATCACGGAGGGTGAAAAAAGCAAAAAAATGAACTGCAGCAAAAATTTTGCAGTATACAGTATATTTTTATATAGGTATTACTTTGTCGTCAGCGTCGGTTGTGTTGTCCGAAACAAGGTTTCCGTGCGATATCTTGAGTTCCCATATCTTTTACGCGATAACTCAAGCTAAAACTCTTTTCTGAGCAGGCGACACATCCACTCCCATGGAATTCTTGTTATTATTAAGCTATCTTTCAGATATTTCCATTTATTAGAAATTTATCAGGTGATTAATTATTTAGCTGTATAATCTTCCATTAATTTTTAATTATATACATTAGAGTTGTGTCTTCTGGAAAATATTACGCACATAGCTGTAGTCTTTCTTAATTTTCCTTTATGCCATGGTATATTTCAGGAGAAGAACCAGTCACTTAGTATGTCCAAGAGAGAACTCTCTAGTACCATTGGTCAACTCCAGGCCAGGGAACACGAAATGATTACTTTGGTCAAACTAAAGGTGGGAAATTTATAGTAACACTAAATGTTACATTAAGTATCCCTGTCCCACTGCACTGTGGTTTTTCCTATGTACAGTAACCTCCCCTATAACTTCCGTTTGGAGATATCTGTATCACTGTTGGGCCAGCACACTTCTGACGACCAGATAGCTCAGTTGGTTAGAGCGATAGTATAACAATTTGAAGTCCAGTGTTCACAAACTCGTTCTAGCCCCACTTAATTCTTTTTCCACTCCGAACACTGTTGTTGATAGTATTATGTTTATTTCATCTTTATTATTTCTCCTTAAAGTCCCGCAAAGTATGGTTTTCTTTCAGAAATGATTGATCAAAACTGTAGTCATCCTGGAAAAAATAGTTTCAACACTTAGTAATAGTTTTGACAGTGGTATGGGGGTCCTTAAACTGAAGACCTTTTCTGTTATGCATATATATTAAATTAAGTAATCACTGTGTCCGTCTGTCCACACTTTCGTTTCTGGAAGTTATCTCAAAACTCAGAAGGCTTATAATATTGGAAATTGATTTGGTGATACGCTGTGATATATAAATCTGCTAAAGGTCAAAAAAGTTTTGAAGGTCAAGGTCACTGTTACTAAAAATATACTATGGGGTTATGGCCAGGCACATTCAGGGCCCTTGCTGACCTGTCAGTGTTTTTATATTTTTTTAAAGTTGTTTTAAATGTATTTCATCTCATTCAACCCTGACATCAGATATGAGACATCAGATATGACCCTGATTGCTGAACTGTTCAGTTATCATTTTTTTTTTAAATTTGCCGATGTCTTGTCACCTGTAGTGTTAATTAATTGCTACCTGAGCTCTAATTCTGAATCCCCTAACTCTCTGCCAGATTGACCTAGATAACAACTTGTCACTTCACTTTTAATTCAGGAACAAGACCTGACCACTGCAACTGCCCATATACAGGAGCTGAATGGCCGGTTAAAACAGCTGGACATTCGTAGTAGAGAGTGTCAGAACAGAGAGGTGGACGCCATCAAACAGGCAAATCAGTGGAAACAGAAACACAGCAACCTCAAACAGGAATTGGAACTCTCCACGGGTGAGGAAGGAATGCTTATTCAAGTTTTAGTTGGAATAAATTCTTTACTAGATAATTTATGTCCAGAAAACTTTAATTTTCAAATGGAGTTTCATGTTGATAATTTGTCATGCCATAAAAAATGCGAACAAAAGTATATGAAAATCATATTCTAAAACTGCCAGAACAATTAAAAACTATTATTATGTGCTTTTGTTTTTAAGAACTACATATTTTCTTGATTATTTTGATCATCTGCATGAACCTTCAATCATCATAAGTAGGTGAAGATGTTTTAGAGGTTAATTTGGGAAAATAATATTGATGACCTAAATTAGCTCTGGGCCAAAAAATGCATATTTGATAATTCAAAATATTAGTTTTTAGAAATGAGTTATCTCACCAAATGTTCGTCTCTGCTTTAATATTTTGTGGGGGTTATGATTGTTTTCCAATAAACACCGATGACATTAGTTCAATAAAGATTATACCTCTTCCCCTAAGCACAATATTGTATGTAACTCAAGAGTACTTGATAAAAGTCTATCCTGGATGATTTTATTTTTCAAAATTAAATTCCAAAATTCCAATTGATATGCTTGAACATGGCATGATGCTTACAATGTATTAATATCAATTCAGAAATGAATTTTGTGTAACAGTGTTCTTCTGATAGTCTTCTAATATGTAATAAACCCCTGGACAATTGATACATTTCATACTTTACAAAATCAGTTGATACATGTAGCTGTTTATAGAAAAGAGATGTTTTGAACTGTGTGTGTTACGTTCTGTTGGCAGAGCTGGTGACGAAGAGAGATTCAGAGTTTCAGGAGATGACGGGGAGGCTGGATAAACTCAAACATCTACAGACTGTCATACAGGATGAATTCAGTATGTATATATAGCAGAAATAATTACCAGATTATACCATATTTTATTTTAGGGAATAAGCCCATGCCTGGAAATAAGCCCACCTATATCTATTCCATCTTTTCGTATTACAGAGTTATCTGCTCTTGTGAGCTGGTATTGATTGTTACGTCATTGGTTTGTGAGAGTNCTGATTGTTACGTCATTTGTTTCTGAGAGTAATTAACGTCATCAATTTTTGAGAAAACAACGTAATTTTCACACACAAACCAATGACGTAACAATCAATACCTGCTCACAAGAGAAGATAACTCTGCAATACGCAAAGACGGAATTGCAGTTCAATAAAAATGCGGTAAAAGTTAGTTTATTTTCCAGTAATAGGTCTCCTACTGTTAAGTTAAAGATAATGTGGTGCCCCCCTGGGCTTATTGCAAGAAAAAATGCAGTCTATGAATATTGTATAATACTTGTTTATTGATATCACTGTATTGATTGAATGATTCCGCAAAAACAAAAACAAAAAATAAATTGCTTGCATGTGTAAGAGTTATCAAAACAGGATAGAATAACTGAACCATTTCGGTACGTCCCTCCCCTACTCTGAGCTATTTTTGTGCAGATCATGTTTAATAAGTCTAAACTTCATGGCGTATGATTGTAGAATTTCCCATGTTTTTTTAAGTTTTCCTCATTATTTTAGAAAAAAGTATGAATATGATCCAAAACAGTCTTTCCCTATCAACATAGATTATAAATTCACGATGTAGACATGAGAAGGAATAAAAATTCGCAGTGTTTCAGAACAGAAACGGGACATTTGGCATATAAAGTGTCAAATAGTCAAATGATCAGATTTTTTTAAAGCTTATTGAACAGCAAGTAAGTGTATTTTGTTAAACAAATCATCAACAAAACTACTGGATATGGATATCTGTGATACAATCTATTTTCAAACATCTGGTTTTACTGGTATTACTGGTACTACTATTGATAAATCATGACTATTTTGATGTTAATAATCGCGGCTCATTTTTACGCTTGTCATGTGATTCTGCAGATCATATTTTAGCGTTCTCTTTATTGATCCACGAAATTATGAAAATATCATACCTGTGGAAAAGTCCTGCTGTAGGGTATGACACTTCTAGAAGACAAATGTAAATTAACTCAAAAAGAAATCCTTCAAACTGTATTGTATTGAAAACTACCATAAAGATCTTTTAAGAGAATCCTTGATCTTCAACAAATATATAAATCCTTTTTCAGATGACCGAGAGAAGTGTAAGGACCAAGTGATTGAATCGCTCCGAGCAAAACAGGGCAGAACAGACCATCAGCTCCGACATGTCAGAGAGGTATTATAGACACAGAGGCCATGTAGGTGGTCGACAAATTAAACTAATATTACCAAAAATAAAAACTGTGAGGGTACTACATGTATACTGTATACAAATATTTTTTTTGGTCATATTATGCTGCGAATCATATTTTTTGTGACCACGCTAATGACCCGCGTAATTACAGAAATATTCCACGATACAGTAGTGAATTATATGGTGTAGCGACAGGATTACAATGAATCACCTTTCATTATGCCATGCAAAGTAATACTCTATACCGGGGAATTTGCGCCCAGTCAAATATTCACCCTTCTCTGGTAAAAGCTCTATTAACCCAGTGCCAACACAGTTGTCCACCAAGGTGAGCGACGGGGTGGGGTCGCACTGGAGTATCGGGGAGGCATATTTCCTTTTCGTCCATTCATAGTCAAAAGATTTAAATTCTGTGTCTATATTGTTCTGAAAGTAGGAGGAACGGTAGTCTAGTGGTAGCACTCCGGGCTCGTGATCAAAAGACTGCAGGTTCGAGTCATTGCACAGCACTGTGTTGTATCTTTGAGCAAGATATTTTACTCTGCTTGTTCCAGTCTATTCAGCTGTAAATGAGTACATGGTTGGGCAGTGCTAGAATTGTTGAATGCTAGCTGAGAGCGCCGAAATGACAGCACCGCCTGTATGCTCCTCAGGGAGTGGGGAAAGATATTGGCTGGCTGCAAAGGCCCCATAACCATGGATAATAATTTTTGAACTGCTTTGAGATAACTTACTAACTAGGTTGTGATAAAGCGGTGTATAAGAACCTCAAATTATTAATATCATTATTATAAATCTTATCCTGTTTTGTTTCAGTTGTATGAACGCCAACAGAGGGAGCTGAATTTGTTGCAGTTGAACTTGGACACAACAAAGGAGATTATTACAAAACAGCAGGGTAGTCTGGAGGAGTACAAGTAAGATTGGAGATATATAGTCAACCAGACTACTGGTACAGAATAACAGAATATCTCACCTCCTGGGGCAACTTAAGAATCTTTCCCCGATGTAAATTTCTTTACATGATGTAATGTTAATGCCACAGGCTCAATTCAGGGTTGACCTGATGTTGATGCATTGTTGACGTCACTTCATACCATTGTTATGAATGGGGACCCCCCCCCCCCCCCNCCCCAAGGTTGAGACTAAAAGAATCTTCCCCTTCCTTGAGGGTGTGAGAGACAAATTTCTCTGTTACACCCCCAAAGTAGGGGAGGATTATTTTTCTCCCATCCTATTATTTCAGTCACAACTCCACCGACAGTAGTCTGCAATGTTTTTTAAAAAAAAAATGTGCAGTGTGAATATCGTCATTCACTATTGATGACGTCACAATTACAGGTGACACAGTTTAATGACGTCACAATTGAACATGTGCTAGTCGGCACGAGGCTATCTCTCCCCAGGGAAAGATTGTCACCCCCTAGGGGGCGATAGCCTCGTGCCGATTAGCAAGTGTTCGATTGTGACGTCGTTAAAATGCGTCATCAGTAATTGTGACATCATCAAAAGTGAATGACGATATGCATGCCCCACATGTGTTTTTGTTTACAAACATGGCAGACTACTGTCGGTGGAGCTGTGACTGAAATAATAGGATGAGAGAAAAATAATCATCCCCTACCTTGAGGGTGTAACAGAGAAATCTCCAACCCTCGGGCTGATGTTTTTTTCGGGTTAGACAACCAAAAAACATCACCCCTCGGGTTGGAGATTTCTCTGTCACATCCTCAAGGTAGGGGAAGATTCTATTAATCTTTCCCGGCTAAAACAGGAGACACACCTGTGAAGGGTAGGAGAAAAGGATATATCTCACACTGTCCAGGGGATGTCAGAATTTTTTATTCGTAGCTTGTCTTACGGTTTTCTTTCTTGAATTTTTACTGGTAGAAAAGTCACTGAATTACCGATTTGTTTGAATGTTGCATAGACTTTTTTGTATTAAATCTAAAGCATACATCTTTAATTTTAGTGATATTTTTTTTTTTTAAGTGACCAATTGTGATCGCCTTTTGTCCGTCGTCGTCCGTCTGTAAACAATTTACATTTTTGACTTCTTCTCCAAAACCCCTGAACCAATTTCAATGAAATTTTGCAGAAACCTTCCATGGCCAAAGGTCAACAAAAATAGTTGCCGGTTTGGTCCCCGGCCCCCCAGAGGCCTGAGGGGCGGGGCCAAAAAGGGTCAAATTGACTAAAATTTCAAAAATCTTCTTCTCAAGACCCAGATATGGTAGAATCAAACACTCTTCATAGATGGAAGGGTCTTAAGGTGCTCCACCAAAATTGTGAATTTCTTGACCCTGGGGTNTATTTTCTAATGTGTACTGTTAACAGACTGGGTGGATTGCCAGATATTTTAGTTTGTTAGTGTGTCCGGCTAGAATGTAGAGGTCCTTGGTTTGAATTTCTGTCTGGCCGTTGCATTTTCCTTTCCTGTTTACATATATATGGAAATGCTCATTTTTGTGTTTTAATTCTCAGCTCATCACGAGGAAGTGGCAGTTACGGTAACAAGTCCCACAGTAGCCTGTCTCCCACGCCAACCATCAACGAATCACCGCGCTACCAAAACTTAGAAACACAAAACCAAGCTTACTTACCAAGATCATACCCACAGAAAGGGGGACCATGTGAAAAACAAGATAACTCACAAAGGCAGAATGCCAGTTCCTCCCGGATACCAGCACCGTCATCAGCTTCACAACGCCAGAGTGGAAATTCCTCCCGAACATCAGAAAGGCAAGAGCAGCACCGTCTTCGTCAACATTCACCCGAGTTAGTTCCAGCGAGCCCAATTGAAACTAGAAATTTTCATGAAAGTTTACCTGTGGGATTGTTGGAATCGGAAAACTTCAGCAGGAAGCAGAAAAAATCAAATTCTCCGAAAAGTAGAAGACAGATTTTTCATAAGCTTTTACCTGTTGCTCAAGGTCATCATGAAATTGACAAAGACACTCGAAATGAACATGTTCAACATGAGCCACAAAGTACTGTTCAAATGGAACAAGAACAAAGTGCCGATTTTGAACTTCTGTCTGAGCAGAACCAGGACAGCGATGGCCAGTTTAGGACTCCTCCATTGTGTAAAAACGATAAACGTGTTTCTCATAAAAATTCCCCTGAGGAACAGAACATCAGACTTTCACTGGAGGATAGCTGGAATACAGATTCTGCTTCACAGAAACCAGTCAGATGGCAAGGCCTAGGGGACGCAATGCGGAGTAATTCCCCAGGTTCTGCAAGACAGCGTACACAAAGTTCCGGTGAAGAGGAAGAGAGACAAAGACTGACTCAGGGGGATCAAGGAGGAAATAATTCACCGAGATATGCAAGTGGAAGACGACCTGATGCAGGGGAGGTAATCCTGTCTCACTCTCCACAGGAGAACAGATCTGTGTCCTTCGAGGATAGACTTTCTTCGTTTTTAGATGACGAACATGAACTTGACGATGATTTCTCAGCCAGAAGACATCTTGCCAGCTCCGATGTAAGTTGTTCTCTATATGATTGTTGTAACCTTTTAACTCATTCACCCCTGAAATTTCATAATGAACTATTCCAACCTTTGAATTGGAAGAGTTCAAATGTGTCTTCAGGGGTGAAAGAGTTAAATTAAAGAAAATGTCAGAATTTGAAAATATAAGCTGACACAGTTGACAGGCATGATGTTCACATTAAAATGTCAAGTGTACATAGAACATGCAATTATTTATGCACAAAACTTAGTATTTGAGGTTAGTCAGGTAAAAGAAGATTGCTTGTGATGGCTCTATGGATTTAAACTTACCAGGTATTAATATTGAATGACTAATTAATTAGCATATTAAAACAGGTGATATTTTTTTCCAGCCTGAAGCTTCACCCGGTAGAAAACTGCAGCGTCTTCTACTTGAGTCAAAGAAAATGATTGAAACTCTGGAGAAATCTACAAACCCTTCGTCTCCATTGAAAGAGGTACGCATGGAAATGTTGAGCAGTAAAAATGATTGTGTGTGAAAGCACAGACAGTTGAATTTAACCATTTAACCAAATAACGAAATAGAAATTTTAATTAAAAAAGGATCGGTCAGGAATCCGATTGGTCTCTGTACACTATATCAACCAAGTATCAAATGTTTTGCCAAAAGAGGTTCTGATTGGCTGAAATCCACTCAGGATCCTTTTTATCAACATTTTTCAAAATATGTTTTCTCACTTAAATCAACGGAAACAGATATGTATGCTTTCTTGGTAGTTTTCACCTAATATTTTGCACATTTATCAACGGGTATGAAAAATATGTGAGAAACATGTGTCCTAGACTATCAAAGTCGATAAAGTTTGAGACTGAAGAGAGAAACCAAAGAAGGTTGTTTCACAGCAGCTGATTGGTCAATCTTAAAACGGAAATAAACATTACTACATGTATTTTAAACAATATGTTACATGCTTTGCTTTGTGGGAAATACAAATAAAAATGCAGACAAACCTTAGTTTTAAAAACTGTTCATAAAACAGCAAAATCAACAAATGATAGGCTTTCAAAATTAAAAACAGTATTTTTTTGGTTTGTTTTTGTTGCGACTATTACACAGCAGATATTATTTCTCTTAAACTTGTCATCGATTTTGAGGATTTTCATTTTTCTAATGGCTAAACTTAAGTATTTGTTATATAAGTGAAGATAATGAATGACAAAAAGTAAAGTATAACGACAGTAGGGTTATTCAACTTATCACAGTCAGTATGGGTATTCAACGTATCACAGACAGTAGCTATATAGGTGTATTCAACTTATCACAGACAGTAGGGGGTATTCAACTTATCACAGCCAGTAGGGGTATTCAACTTATCACAGACAGTAGGGGGGTATTAAACTTATCACAGACAGTAGATGTATTCAACTTATCACAGACACTGAGACAGTAGGGTTATTCAACTTATCACAGTCAGTATGGGTATTCAACGTATCACAGACAGTAGCTATATAGGGGTATTCAACTTATCACAGACAGTAGGGGTATTCAACTTATCACAGTCAGTAGATGTATTCAACTTATCACAGACACTGAGACAGTAGGGGTATTCAATTTATCATAGACAATAGAGGTAGTCAACTTATCACAGTCAGTTTCGATATTCAACTTATCGCATACACTGAGACAGTAGGGGTATTCAACTTATCAGACACTGAGACAGCAGGGGTATTCAACATATCACAGATGGTGGGGGTATTCAACTTGTCACAGACAGTCGGGGTATTCAACTTATATCAGACAGAAGGGGTTTTCAACCTCTCACAGACAGAAGAGGTATTCAATTTATCAAAGACAGTAGATGTATTCAACTTATCAGAGATACTGAGACAGTAGGGGTATTCAATTTATCATAGACAATAGAGGTTGTCAACTTATCACAGTCAGTTTCAATATTCAACTTATCACAGTCAGTTTCGATATTCAACTTTTCACAGATAGTAGGGGTATTCAACTAATCACAGTCAGTTTGTCTCTTTATTTTAATGACCTTTTAGGGGAGCATAATCCATCAATTTTACGAATTTTTTCTTTCTCTTATAATATTTCTTCTCTTATCCAGGATGAAGCCAGAGAGGGAGGCAGCCAGTGACAACAGTAATATTGGAGTTATGAACTGTAAACAATTTATGCAATCTAAACTACCCAGAAACTGATGATGTTTTTACAAATATTGTATTACTCTTTCAAAACATTGTCACCCATGATATTTGAAAGTTCAGCATTTCATCATACTTAGTTGGTTCCACTAATTTGAATGACATTTCATTAAAACACATTTTATCAAAAAGATTTTATATTTTTTTTAGCATCTATCTCTTTTGAAATGTCCCAGAATCAGATCACCCAGATAATCATCATCTCTTGGGGTTTTTTTCCTCATTAAGCTGAAGTCTCTTCTTATTTGGTAAACGTCAAGCATAATTTTAAAAAATAAAATAAAATCAGAAGCAAAATTTTGTTTGAAACTATTACGTCAGGAAAGTATTAATTTTACAATGGAGTTTTAAGCAATGTCTCTTATGAAATGTCATATACTGCCATGGCTATTTAGTCAGGGAAAAATTATGTAGGATGAAAGTAGTTTAAACTGTTTAACAGGATATCATATTTCTTTTAGCAAGCATATGTTATTTTAAAACTATTCATACACACAAAGGTCATTTTACTTTGCAAGAATACATCAGATACTCCAATATGGCAGAAACAGATTTTGACAGAGAAAGGTTTTATAGATTTTATCTTGTTAACTCATTCACCCCTGAAGTTTCATAATGAACTATTCCAACCTTTGAATTGGAAGAGTTCAAATGTGTCTTCAGGGGTGAATGAGTTAAAGATATTCCCAGTAATTTAACTGTTTTGTACAGTAACAGTCTTTTAGACTAAAAAAGTTCATTATTTTTTTTGGCACAACATTTCAATGGCACAGCCATCCTTATCAAATGCCTCAATGTTTATGTCCATCACTAAGGAAACTACCTTATTAATCAGTAATTTAATGAAATGAAATCCCGTCAAACAAGCAGAAGAGACCAACTTTATTAAATACCCTGTTAAGATCTACTTTTATTAGTCTTTTTTGATAGGAGTTATTCCCCTTTTCTGATATGACCTTTTGTTGAAATCTTCTACAATTTGTGAAAAATCGTTTAAAGTTTACCCAGTAATATTTTTGAAATATAACTTTCATTCAGACGCATTTGCTGGAAGTCAAAAACGATGTTTTCTGTGAATAAATATAATTATTTATTGCTTAATGCAGGAACATTTTACATGATATATATACAGTATTCTGTTGTTTTCCATAGGTTGGAATGCCAAAATTCTCAAACAGTGCTGTTTTAAACAGTGTATTTAGGTACAATGTGTCTGTATAGTTCAACAGATTCACAGCTGATGTATTTATTACCTGGTACTGTTATACAGCGATATCCGTCCATGTCATAACAAATATATTGCAGCAATGTTGTTTTTTTGAAAAGCAACAAATATATAACGTTTACATCTCATTTTATGTTTTCTTTAAATCAATCTCAAAATTATACATCACATTTTACTTATTTTATCGGTGATAAAGTCTTTCGGCTCTGTGCCCGAAAAATCGGTCAAATTAGGGGTTGGCATATTTCTTGTTACGAGCAAAGATATTCCCCTCTCCTCCTCACAAATAGAAGGAGAGAGGGAGAGAGAAATGAGGGGGCTTATCAGCAGGCATGGGCCTACCACCACTAAAATAGGGTTCACATTGCTTCACATTGCTATTTACTAATGTAAAAAAAAACATGCTGTCTCCCTATTAATAGTTACATTGTATGTAGCATTTCATTCCTTTCTACAATGTTTCATTGATTAGCAGTATTATTTTCACCTAGTCAATAGTCTTGAACATTTTACATTCCGAACCAGCCTTGTATTTTAGAAAAAGGAAATAATGCAAACAATTTTGGTGTCAAAAGGTAAAGGTCATGGTAAGCTATTTTGATTTGTAAAAAATCCATTTATCAATTAACCTATTCTGCTCTATTTAATGATAATGATATGCAAGATGTTGGATTATTAATTAGCAATAAACTTGCATTCTACTTATCATGAGTTTTTGTCAGGTACATGTAGACTATGTTTACCTAAATTCTCCAACCTACCAGGTAGCAACCAGAAGCAATTTCTAATTTGATGATCAAAATGACCTGTTTATGTTTCGAAACTGACCTGGAAAAATAGGAGCCTGAATTCATCATATAAAAAAAAATTAAGGACATATTTTTCCTCGTGATTTAAGCATTATTTACTTTTAAACATTAGACAGCATTTGTATTAGTTTGTATGCATTGTAAGTATAAGTACACAACTCAACATACAATGGTTTTTTAGTGATATCCGTACAGGTGTTTTTAAATAAGTCATCTACCTACCCCCAGTAAATCATTTTCTCCTTAAAAATTTTCAATGGGAAAACAGTTTTATAGCATTGATAATAAGATGGTTTGGGTTAACATGTGATTATCAGGGAAAAAGGTAGTTTGTGATGGATTCAGACATCACTTTATTGATGCAAATGTATCAGCTTACATCAATTACCAGTGATGAATATGACATCCCTGTGAGTGTGTGTGTGACTATATTTTATACACTAGTTATATGTTATTGTTGATATATCAGATACAAATATTTATTTACAATTATTTTAATAAAAGTATTTTGTAATAATGAAGGTTTCAGTTTGTTACGAGTTTTTTTTTATTGGAGCCGTTGAATTGTACGTGTACTGCCTTCTGAAATGCCGACCATATGAGCTATCTCAGCAATAGTATAGTGACCACTGTCCTTAATTATTGCTTTCACAGCAACGGTTTTAATTTTTGATGTTCAAAATGCTATATTCACGAAGCACTTGTAGTATACTAATCGGACCATTATCTAGAGACTGTATTGGGAAGCTATCTACAAACTCGTTAGGCACAGCTGCTATCGCATTGGGAAGCTATCTATAAACTGGTTAGGCACAGCTGCTGACGGCTACTTTAGTATAAGTCAACATTCTCTTTCACTTCGAGACTTTGAGACAAAGAAAACACAAAGCCTACTTTATCAAGGACAGTTATCAAACAGTCGTTCAACAAGTCGCGAGCATGAAACTACGCAATGATGGCCAAGGGGAGCATTGATATCATACTATATTATGAAATAATGAACACGTACATTATCTAAAGATCTTTCGAGGTAAGTGTGTGTTTTTTTTGTGAAGAAATTATTCGGTCCAAAAAGCGTAATAATCTGAGATTGATATAGTTCATGATGCTCACTGAAAAAAACACGCCTTTTTGTAACATTTTAACATTTTTACTTTGATTTATTGACCGTTTTCATATGTATTTCATCATTTTACAGCATTAATCATACCATGAAATAATCAACACAGCTTTTAAAGATCTTCCTGCAGAAGAAGGAGAAAGTCTGTTGTTTGGTTTTGATTTGCCCAGGCTTGGCGAGGACCGCTATGAATGCTGTACACAGCATCCAAAAACAGTTCCCAATATGGCAGCATTTTATGCTATACAACTCGGCATGTATCTGTTTTGGCGGCATCTGAAAAGCACACTGTGCTTTAGTATAGGAGCGTATTTCAGATTTAGTCTCCGCCTTCATTTTAGCATTGAAAAGTAGACACAGGTCACGAGTGGATACCATTCAACCATGAATGACTTCTTCAATTCTTGTCAGATGATATCGTCATTTTGCATGTGCATTGCTCTTTAAATATTCATGTGACCAGTTAACAGTCGTAGGGTAGCAAACACCAGTTTATCATGGGACCAGTTAACAGTCGTAGGGTAGCAAACACTAGTTTATCATGTGACCAGTTAACAGTTGAAGGGTAGCAAACACCAGTTTATCATGTGACCAGTTAACAGTCGTAGGGTAGCAAACACTAGTTTATCATGTGACCAGTTAACAGTTGAAGGGTAGCAAACACCAGTTTATCATGTGACCAGTTAACAGTCGTAGTGTAGCAAACACCAGTTTCTCATGTGACCAGTTAACAGTCGTAGGGGAGCAAACACTAGTTTATCATGTGACCAGTTAACAGTTGAGGGGTAGCAAACACCAGTTTATCATGTGACCATTTAACAATCGTAGGGTAGCAAACACCAGTTTATCATGTGTCCATTTAACAGTCATAGGGTAGCAACCCCCAGTTTATCATGTGACCATTTAACAGTCGTAGTGTAGCAAACACCAGGTTATCATGTGACCATTTAACAGTCGTAGGGTAGCAAACACCAGTTTATCATGTGACCATTTAACAGTCGTAGGGTAGCAAACACTAGTTTATCATGTGACCATTAACAGTCGTAGGGTAGCAAACACCAGTTTATCATGTGACCAGTTAACAGTCGTAGGGTAGTAAACACCAGTTTATCATGTGACCATTTAACAGTCGTAGGGTAGCAAACACCAGTTTATCATGTGACCATTTAACAGTCATAGGGTAGAAAACACCAGTTTATCATGTAACCATTTAACAGTCGTAGGGTAGCAAACACCAGTTTATCATGTGACCGGTTAACAGTCGTAGGGTAGCAAACACCAGTTTATCATGTTACCATTTAACAGTCATAGGGTAGCAAACACCAGTTTATCATGTGACCAGTAGACAGTCATAGGACAGAAAAAAACACCAGTTCATCACATGACTACTTAAAAGTCGTAGGGTAACACACACCAGTTTATCATGTGACCAGTCAACAGTTGTAGGGTAACAACTACCAGTTTATCATGTAACCAGTCAACAGTTGTAGTGTTACAAACAACAGTTTATCATGTGACCAGTCAACAGTTGTAGGGTAACATACACCAGTTTATCATGTGACCAGTCAACAGTTGTAGGGTAACAAACACCAGTTTATCATGTAATCAGTCAACAGTTGTAGGGTAACATACACCAGTTTATCATGTAGCCAGTCAACAGTTGTAGGGTAACATACACCAGTTTATCATGTGACCAGTCAACAGTTGTAGGGTAGCATACACAAGTTAATCATGTGCCCATTTGGTTTTAGAAGAGTTGTCAGAACAAGGCTTTTTCCACAAAGGGCAACAACTCCATAAAAAGGGGTCAGAAGGTTCAGAACACATTCACAATTCGCCAAGGATCAGTCGTTTTCTTACAAAAACTCTTTAGCTGTTAACATGGCATTGTCTCATCAACAACGGTTTTCTCCTTGCCATAACTGCAGCTGCATCCTGAAATAATTAAAAGAGAGAATTAATATAACAAGTTAACTGATATAATATATACAAATTATTCTATGTAGATATATAAGACCAATTAAACTTAAGCTGCAGTAGATTTCACAGCATTTTGCTTCTCGAAACATTAAAATATATGCATATATATTATAGCTATAGAAATTGATTGATAAGTAACATATTATAATCTTTAAATCAAATGTTTCCCTAAATATAAAATTGAACTCTGAATTTTTTTCATCATATTAACTTAACTTGTGTGCAGTTTTTCCAATAAAAACAGTTGGTATTTGAGTATTATTTATTTTTCACTTAGATTTCAGTTAAATTTATGTCGTACCATCATGACAAAGACTCCACATGAATGACCGTCGTCTTGCCTCGAGCAAGGAGACTCCATCCAAGTGCACGTCTCTGGTGCCATTCCAAGAGCTTGACCCCAAGCAATGAGGAATTGCCTAAATTTATGAAAAAATGTATTAGCTAATTATTTTAATTTCTGTCTTAACAAATAAATAAAACGTTGCTATTAAATGAAAAGTATTATTAGTTAAAAGAAAAAAAAGTATACAGAAAAAAAAGTATGAACATATGGACATGTGTATATTTTTGGAAGATAGGTGAATATTTCTAAATATTTTATGAAAACAAAGCGATTGAAAAACAGGAAATGAATTTAACAAAGAAGTTGAGACATAACTGATGCATCAAAAATTGTAGTCATGACATTTGCAGAGACCAAACATCAATGAAACAACAAAACAGTACTTCGAAGAAACTTGATCATGCGGGACATTAATGTTATAATGAAATTGCTGTCACTGGTGTTCAATCTTAAAAAATTAATTCAAAACAACACATCTTATATTATCGTGTTTAGTCTGCACTAAACCCAACAGCACACACAGGTTATACTCTGCTATGTTTTTTGTCGATAAAATAACAAACACTTAAATTTTCGAAAATGAGCATTTATTCTAAATGCCAGAAATCGAACATATGTATACATATTTGTGTTGATTTTTATAATAAGGTGTACAAAGAACCAAAAAGATGGGGCTTGCTTCAAAATAAACGCACTATTTGTAATTAAAATATGTACAACAAATGAAACAAAATTTAAAACAAAGATGTGCAACAATTACATTTTACACAATAGTACATAAAGGTGGATACAAATTAGTGGAGGAGGAGGGTAGCTGATTTTTTAAGGAGACTTTTCAAAATGTCAGCATGGAAAAATATTCTGCACAGGTCACGTGACTTTAGTACACCAAAACATCACGTGACTACTTCTAAAGGGATGGACTAGTTTAAAAAACGGAAAGTTATCCTCCATCCGTAACCAACAAAATATAACATATGGAAATATCATATACTAACCAGATAATATAAATTACGTTATGCATTGCATAAATACAATTATTCTAAGAAATTATGAATCTTTTTAAACATTATGATAATATTGCTGATGCCATGGAAATTGGATTACTTACCTCCAATGTTTTGCAAACATGTTTGATCTCTCAATGCTATGTAGTGAATCATAGATGTACAGTTCCTGTTGTTTGGGTTTGGCGACCATAAGGAACCAGTGGTCCTTATGACATACAGGCAGGAGTATCGCCTCGTAAATATGGAATGGAACCCGTTATAAATAAATTTGGTTTAGTTATTAAACATACTTATTTTAAGCTATCATCATGAAATATTGTATACAAAACTTGGAAGAATATGAACTAGGAATTGTGGGTTGGTGCTTTGTTTAAATATATGTGAGCAAAAAAAAATAAAAAATACTGACTTTGTGATGATAAATATATATAATTTACTTTTACAGTGGCTCCAGCTCTGTTGGTCTTCATCTTTTTTCTTTTTCTTTTTTTTTTTGTGAGGGAACTAAGAAAAAGCTCAGAATCTCTTTTCTGTTCTTTTCTATATATAATTAAATGTCACATGACTATTTAAGTGGTACTTAAGCACATATTTCACGTTTGTACGGTAAAATCTTTTCATTAAAGCACCATTTGAACATGTTAATTTGAACTTGTTAATTGAAACTTCACCTTATGGAATGTCCATGTTTGGTAGTCATTGTGGCTCCATTTGGTTGCCAGGAAGCAGGGCAGGATGAGGCTTTCATGGTTGTTCTCCTGTTTCTGTTCCCAACTTAGAACTGTCAAGAAGGGGTGCATCACCTGAACAAAAAGGATTGAAAGTTCATCCTTTTTTATTATTTGGAAAATGAAATATGAGTGTCATATTTGATCTAGGAATGAAATAAGAGTGTCAGATTTGATCTAGGAATGAAATAGGAGTGTCATATTTGATCAAGGACCTGTATAAAAATCATGAAATACTGTTGCATTGTTTTTATTAAATAATAAATTACAGTATTGAATATAGTATT